GAAGTTCATGAAGATTGGTTCATGGATACCTTAATCATATAAAAAAAAAAAAAACTTGAAGTGATACATGTGTAGAATTTTTTTTTGATATGTAAAAACAATGATTTATTTACAGGGAGTACAAGGGTTACTCCCATTCCAATTGTAAGTTAAGTTCACATCAGTTCATATTTTCAACTAGTACAGGATAATAATAATAATTAAGCATATCCTGCAAAAATTAGCTTATCCCTGCAGAATCAACTCCGCTGCATTTTTCATGCTTGCACTGGTGACTCAAGCCATAAGTCTCGACTTAAGCCGGGCTAGACTTTTGCTTTTACCCAAAGGAATGATCTGCATCTGATTAGCTCCACGATCTTCTCCAATGATCTATATCTCCCTGAAAGATTTTTTTGTTCCTCTACAGCCATAGGGTCCAAACAATAGTAAACTAAACAACTGCCCAGGCTTCCTTACAGTGTCCACTGTGTATGAGGCCACTGTGTTGAGACATGCGTTTCCAGCATTCCTGTTGTGTTACCGCTTGAGTGCCCTACCAACAATAGCAAGAAGTCGATACTAACCATGAAGTCTTGCATTCGAAGCTATTACAATCTTTGCCTGCTTCAAAATTGAGTAATAGAAGCTTCATATGGCTTTGCAAGTTTTGTAGAGCACAGATCATTGATCACGTGAGGTCATGTGAGGCCATATGGATCGAGGACGGTATTAGCACTACAAGAAAATTCACATTTAGTGACTAAATTATTGATTATTAAAGCTTTATTTTTCGTCATAAATTATTATTAGTGATAAAATTTAAACCGTTAGTAAAACCCTTGTCACTAATGCTCTTAATGATAAATTAAGTACCTGTCATAGAAAATAATTTTATAGTGATAAAAAAAATTGACATTACTAACAAGTTATTTATAATAATTTTATTCGTCACAAAAAAACATTCGTCACAAATGCAATTATGATGCAAAATTTAGTTATTAATTATTAAAATTGATATAAAAAAAAGATATTTATATAATTACAACACAAATATTTTAACAAAAATTTTGTCACAAAAAAATAATATATAAATTTATTATAAAAGTTTAATGAAAAATATTATTATTTCAACACTAATCAATTTTGATTAAAATTAATCAAATCCGATTAAAATTAATCAAGCCCAATTAAAATTAATTAGGCCCAAACTAATCTGAAGTTTTATTGAGTTTCACATGTTTTATAATGCAAAATTTTATTTTCTTAAATATTTTTTGTCGATGTGGGATATATTTATAGTACAAAACTTTATTCTCTTATGTGTTTTTTATTGATGTGGGATGCATTGATTAGAGAAAATTGACAATTTTTAGTGACGAAATATAT